AGTTTTTAGATACGAACACCTCGACTGTTCCGGTTTTTTTCAACGTAAGCACCTCTGTAATGATTGCGTAATACTTGTGTCCTTTCAATTAAAATGCGACTGCGAAGTACGAATACGCCTACTCTGCCACATGATTTTGACACAAGCGTCGAGTGGTTTGTACGCTTCTTTATTTATTTACTTTGCATGCGGTTAAAATATGTAGAAGGGAAAGGAAATAAGCCGTTTTCGTTGAAAAAGATGTTATTACATACTTTAGGTTCAACTTACAGCTGTAATTAAAGACTTTTGGTCCATTTTCATTTCCCGTCGGCATTTTCGTGCCGTCCGACTTTGTACCTTTATGCGTTTTATAATTTAAAACATAGACGATGAATATTCTACGTATATTTTAGGAATAATTCTCGAACTACTTGCTATGAATAATATTAACGTAGATAATATGTAAATGTGGGGATCACAGGAGAACCTTTTTGTTCGGGACCGTATCTGAATTAAAAGAGATTTAGTTCATGAAGTTGTTTTGTGAAGGGCTGCTATCGACTAGCGGACAGAATTTTAATGCAATTAATTTGCAATAGAATTAGGAATTGCTTTCTAGAATTGAAAAAAAATCATTTCGTCCGTCTTTATTCGCTTATTTAGCAAATATGATTTTGTAATACGAAAAATATGTTCGTTAACACCAAAAGCGCTTTTCGTAATGTGTTGAAAAGCAATTTTTATGTGTACATACTATATGTTGCAGGTATGACGTAATATATGTATCGTCTGCATTGCACAGAAATATATCTTACATATATTCGACCTGAATTAAAAACATTTGATCAACAGAAATAGCTTTGATACCATTTAGGGTTTAAAAAAGAATCCTAAAATTTTAAACATCTTGCCGACGGAACGCAATAACTTATAAAAATTTAACTTAAAAAACAGAAATAACTGAATTTGATTTGCAAATGGTTATATTTTATTTACAAAAATTTGAATTTAAATTTGAATAACCATCTATACTATTATAATAAAGCGTAAACACACACTTCTTTGTTGCCTAAGATGTCAGCAATTACAACATACTTTAGAGTAACTCTTATTTTGATATAAAGTCCTACACTTACGTCCCGCTTTAGGCTATATATTTTCATTAAACTTAGGGGGTAAATATTTTGGATAAAACCCTAATGTGGAAAAGAGACCGTAAATTCCTGCCAACATCAAGGAAGCAAGGTTGCCATGCATTGTCATTTTGACATTTGCAATTGATAATTTGACACATGTAAACAATAAAATAAAATTTTCATAATTTTATGCGGATGAAGTCGCACGGGAACAGCTAGTTATAAGCAAGCATAAATTGCACATTAGTATGCAAAAGCTAGAAAATAAATAAGTTGGAAAAATAAATTCTATTCAACCAGTATAAGTCTCGGTGTCCAGCTTTTCTTTTCCAGGATTTAGTTGTTCCAGCTGGTCCCGTTTGGGTATTGTTCTGGAATATTTTGCCGTCGCCTTTTGTCGATAGCGTGTTCCGTATTTCAGCTTGCAAAGACATGTCAGCGCGATATTATTATAAATTTTAGAAACAGAAATATTTTTTGTTCCCTTTTGTATATGTTATTCGAAATTTTAAAAAATGTTTTAAGATTAGTACAATAGGAAATATACGAGACTCAAGCAATATGCTTAGAAAATAAGTTAAAGTTAAGAGGCACTAAATGAAGATAGATTAATTAAGAAAAAACGAATAAAGCACAACTTTGTGTAATTAAAAAATAATCACTTTAATCAAACTCTACTTAGCTGGATTAAAAGTTCGCGGAGTGAACAGCATTGCACTTAACCTTGTTGCTATAATTTTTTATTGAAAAGTAATTGATCGCAATGAACTATTTAATTCGATTGCTATTCATGTTTTTGAAATAATCTTTTTACTTGCAATATTATAAATGGGAATGATTAGATGGATGTTTGGCAGAGTTTGCCTAAACGGTTGAACGGATCTCGATGAAATTTGGCATAGATGTAGACCATAGTCTAGAAGAACACATAAGCTACTTACTTTTTAAAATAAAACGCGGCCCAAATCGCTGGGTTAGTATAAATTAACATTTTTGAAGATTTCTCTTTGAAGAATATTTATGTGAATTTGTTTTTTGATCTGATTTGTTTCATTAATGATGTATTATTTCTATTCTTTCATTTTCGTGTATGACTATATGATATCATCTCTTTCATTTATCTTTAGATAAAAAGAGATAACAGTATATTTTGTTGAATCAGTGAACCTTGCTAAAATTTGAAATCTTATAAAGCATGTAATGTTGCGCATGTACAAATGCATTGGGATATTTAGAAATTGAAGTTTGGATAATAAAACCTACATCGTCTCTATATATCGATGCTCGAAGCGTACATATTATGTATTATTTTGTACATATGTGCAAAGAATATAAAGAAGCTTCGAGTATTTGTATTGATCAAGTAACGTCGTTTCCATGAAACGCTCTCCGATATCACAGTCTATTGATTTCAGGGAGCAGCTAGCGAATGCTTTGTGTTCATGTCTAGCATATAAAGTGTACATATGTAAGGTGACTAATGCCCGGTTGCTGAAGTTTTGTGTGTTTCATTATGAATGAATGAACGAATGAATATGTATTCATTGCCACAAAATAAAAATGACATAAAAGGACTTATAAAGAAAACACAATTATTCTAACACATTAGTGTTATGTTGAATTAAATTTCAACGGAGTACTTAATTTTCTTAATTCGGAAACGCATTACATAAAGTTAAAGAACATAAAACACTAACTAATGGTTAAAAGAAGCTGAGAAACCGGCAATAATACTGGTAATTCGCTCCGGCGTTCTTGATAATAGTATGGGAAAAACAAAAACTTTTATTATTACATATCATTTTTAATATTTAATATTTTGATAATAAATTAAGAAAAAGATTTTTTTAAAGATAATTAAGGAATAAAGTATTCATTTATGTACATTGGAAAACAACAATTGTAACAAACCAAAAAGTTTTCTCTCGATAAATGGCTAGTTAAAAATTTGCGAGTAGCAATTTTTAAAGCGATTAAAACTTTGTACACAATGAAATAAAACGTACATTATAGACTAATTACTAAGTATATAATTGTGTACATAAGCTTTAGTATTAATATGTCCATCGCGGAACAATAGCAAGGCCAAAGCCTTTGTCTGATACGTTCTGAATGGGTGCTGTCAAATTTTGAATAGAGGTCACCTCTATTAACATCTGGAAAACGTATTATAGCTCTTATTATTAAGTAAAACTTTTTAATAATTTGATAAAAGAATGATAGGTTTTTAAAATTATTAATAGTCTATATGTACCTTTAACCGAAAAATATCGGTGTTACTCGTTTTAACACGAATAAAGATCGCAATAACGAACTTAACTAAAATTATTATTTTCTTATTAAATAATTTAGAGGACAATTCTAGTATTGAATACAGTGTTGAGAATTTAGCGATGATAGAAATAATAGCGAAATCCAATTCGATTACGTACGACTGTAGTAGTAATAAACATTTATTTACTCTCATTACTTGTTATGGTCATTATTAATTTGAGAAAACAAAGTTTTTTTATTTCATAAGTTATAACTATAAATCAATCGATTCCAACTTCTATAAGAATAAAAATCGAAAATCGGTAAGATTCATTCTACTTAATTTTGAAATGAATTGTCAAACTAATCTAAATTATTTAGACAATTTTCAATCTCCTACACGATTGTGGAGTAATCTTTTGTTAAAAATAGAATAGTTCATTACCCGCTAGATGGCGTCGTGCTACGCAAACTTGAGAGGAGCTTAGACTACGAGTGGAGCTCCGAAATGAGGGTTATTTGAATTTATCATTTCCTTTTATTGTATAAAATATAAAAGAGGTAGGAGGTATAAACTTGCAATCGAGTGTACAAGCAGTCCTGGCTTTGTTAAAAATGAAGATAATTTGAAAAAAAAGAAAGTTTGTAGTCCTTATAAAAATGTTGGGCGTTAACATTTAATGTTTTACCACTGTAATTATTGTAAAGTTTAAACTTTCATAAGTATAAATACATAGGTATCTAGATATAAAAATAGAAACAAAAATCGAATCTCGATTTAGCATTTGATAGCAATAATTCGACTTACTTTTAGTTTTGTGTCTGCAGTAATAGAAGTTTTGAAGATATACGATAAAATTTATGTGTCTGGAACATTGAACGATGTAATAAAATATTTACTATATCTTTTCATATAATTTGTAGCTAAATTAGTGAACTATTTACGACATATAAAGTTTTATTTAAACAAAGAGTAGACAAGAATAAACAGTAAATAAACTTTCTGCTAAAGTATTTGATTACATTGGATTTTCGTGTTAAAGATTGTTCATTGTCCTTGTTACAATTTTTACACAATGTATGTGAATGTATGTGTGAAATGAAAAACGAAAACAAATCATCATCAACTTGCCCTAGTCCCTACGGAGGGTAGACACAGTATGTGCTGCTCTACCATTTCTATCACCTGTCATATCTGAATCCACTCCATTCTTAAGTATATCCTCTTTCACACAATCTATTCATACTTTCTTCGCTCTTCTTTTACTATTAAAACGAGTGTCAGTTCTATTCTGTAAATACTCTGTGGTCTGATATATTCTCTCTGGTTCATTACTCTATTTAGCAGTAGGCAGCAACTAATACAATAGAGACGTTCTCATTTGAAACAATGCGACGGCAGACTTTTGTTCCTGCAGTAAAAATCCTGAAAGGCAAGACGGTCTTAAAGATTTACAGTTTTTCCTTTAATGTAGGCTCTATTCTGTTAAAGTTCTACTTAAAGTTGCTTACCTGATA